ATACTGTGCTTCGTGCTGCTGTGCTGTCGTACCTTTGCTATGTTAAGAATACTACTAAGTTATTTTTCTGAAGTATTAACGGTTCTTTTGTTTTCACTATTTTTAAAAATTCATATTGTGGTGGTCTATCAAATATTAGATCATCTTCTTCAAGTTCACTTAAGTTTTCACTATCTGAGTCCATGGTGTCTTCTTCTTCCCATTCTGCATATTCGGTTGAACCTTTGTCGGGTGGTTCAGGAGGAATTTCAATAGTTGGATCTTCGTCTTCTGGTAAATCGGGAAATGTTTCGTCAATTAGTTCTTCTGTTTCCGTTACTTGTTCGTTTGTTGGATCTTGTAGAGTAGATGGTTCATTTATTTCATTATTTGTTAGATCTTGTGGAGCGGATGGGGTGATTGATTCAGGTTGGAGTTTTTGTCGTTTTTCCTCTTGTTTTGTTTCCTCCGGTCGTTCCTTTGATTTCCGTTTCTTCCCTTTTATCCTTGATGAAAATATCCCTTCCTCGTCGGATAGGCTCATTGGGAGAATTTGGACTGATGGTGGATTTCTTGATAGAGCGTCTGCGTTTAGATTCGTAGTTCCTTGTCGGTAGACGATCTCATATTCGTATTCTGACATCTTCAATTTCCATTTCCACAGTCTTGACGTTGGATCCTTGATATTATGTAGTCAGACTAGTGGCTTATGATCGGTCACTATTTTAAATTTTCTCCCGTACAAATATGGTCTGAAATGATTGACGCTATACACCACGGCTAAGCATTCCTTCTCGATGGCGGAGTATTTCTGCTCGTGTTCGTTACGAGTTCTTGAAGTGTAAGCAATTGGTAAATCTTTACCGATATCTCCTTGGCTAAGTATACCTCCTTTTGCATAGCCTGATGCGTCTGTTGTCAATATGAAAAGTTTATTGCAATTTTGGTGACTCACATATTTTATCCTGTAAGGTTTCAAATGCCTCCTGTTGTTTGGATGTCCATTCAAATTTTCTTGCTTTCTTAAGGAGATCAGTTAATGGTTTAGCTATTTTTGAATAATTCTGGATAAATCTTCGATAATATCCGATTAACCCTAAAAATTGTTTAATTTGTTTCGGATTTTTCGGTTTCGGAAATTCTTTTACTACTTCTAATTTTTTGGGATCTGGTTGCACTCCTCGTTCACTATGTGCCCTAAGTATGTTACTTCTTTTCTCAAAAATTCACATCTATCAGGTTGCAGCTTTACGTTCCCTTCTTTCAAACGTTCCATCATCCTCCTAAACTTCGTCGCATGTTCCTTCAATGTCGCGGCATAGATTACGAAGTCATCCATGTAAATGAACAATTCCCATCCTTGCAGTCCAGATAATAAATTATTCATATGCCTTTGAAACGTAGCAGGTGCATTTTTTAATCCGAATGGCATACGGGTAAATTCATAATGTCCGTATGGTGTTGAAAATGCTGTTTTAGGTGCGTCCTCTTTTTCCATTGGTATGTAGTGGAATCCTGAAGCTAAGTCTAATATGCTGAAATATTTCGCTCCACCAACTTGGTCTAAAATTTCATTAATATTTGGGAGAGAATACGCGTCTCCAATTGTCTTTTCATTTAACGCTCGAAAATCTATCACACAACTTTGTTTCCATTTGAATCCGGCTTTTTCGGTACTATTCATAACGGTGATGTTATAGCCCTGTGAAAGGGCTAGATTCCTTGATATTTGTCGCTTTTTGCAATGCGCGCTTGGCAACAGCCAGCGAGCATCGAATTGTGATGACTTATCAGTCCGACACCTCAGGCCATTGGACTGATATGCGTTCGAAATGCGGCGCGTGTCAAAATGACGACTAAGCGTTTCGACGTACTAAGGTATTTCGAAATACATATGAAGACCAGGACACGTGGAAATCATAAAAGGTGAATGGACTGCTGACTTGTAGCATTTAGGCTATAAAGCCTGGCCGTCGGGGCCCGCGCTTCAGTTTTGATTCTCGTCTCTTAGCCCGTGACTCTGTCCGAGTCCTCATCGGTTTCAAAGCATCGTTCAGCTGCTTCCCTGAATCAAAAGGATTCTTAAACGGCTTACCCGAGGGACGAACGCATTGCCTAGAAACTACTGGGAACTCGAGAAGTTAAATATAGAAATAAAATACTTGTAACGTGAAGTGACTAGTGTCAGCATAGAGGCTACTGACACACGAACCGCCGATCAGGCCAAGCTAAGCAGACCTTGGTATGTAATTGAGTATTAAATATTAAAGAATATAAATTGTATAGAAATCTCGTGTCAATCCTTTTGTATCCTATACCTATTCCCGAAAATAGATAGTCAGGTCAAGGTGTGCTTAAGCACTTTAAATAAAGGCAAGGACCCCGTAGTAGGACGTAACAGTGAGTTATACGATGATTGTGATGCTTGGATTATACCATGTCTTAACAATTCCTGAATTTGCCGGTTTATTTCTTCTTTATGAATTGGTGGGTATCTATATTGTTTAGAATTAATTGGGACATTGTCCGTAGTGTTGATTCGATGAGTGACTCCTCTGGCACAGGTTAGTTGTTCTCCACGGAGATGAAAATATTCTTGGTATTCTTCAACCAAATTTAAAATATTTTCTTTTTCTTCTTTATTCAAGTGATCTAGACGTAATAGTTTTAAAAGTTCTTCGTATCGTGTAGTCTGTATTTCACAGGAATTGATAATTATAGGTTCTTGTTCAATTTTCTCAATAACCTCGTAGGATTCCGACTCGATTTGTGGTATTATTAACTCGATATGATCAGCTGTAAGATTATAACATTTAACGTATGCTCGGCCATTCCTATCTGTTACGATGCACTGGCCAAAGAAAACGCCCTTCTTGATGTCATGCCTTCTGATATAGTCCGTAAGTTGATTAGGATGTGTGATAAACACATTCATAAGGGTAACTGTTCTGCTTTTGAGAACGATTCTTTCTTCTTCGAAGAATAGGATTTTCCATTCATTCCATGTAATAATTCGTTTAGAGTAATCCACATTGGCGGAAGGATTCAAAAGAAACTCGGCTCCTAGGATCCCATCGTAGGGAATATAAAATTCGTCTGGTACGACGTAGAACGGGACTGGGTACCCAAGTATGTGTAGAATGACTCGTCCGAGTGTCGGGGCTAATCCATGCCCTATCCCTTAAGTGACGGCCGTACACTGGTATCGAGATATGTATCTGAGGAGAGGAGCGAGTTTTTTATTAGATTGGCTTCCGCGCCGGTATCTATAATAAATTGGGCTTGTCGCTTTAAACTGGGCGAATAAATTCTGGTACATGATATCAAGTCGAGATTGGCGAGATTAATGTCTAGATTTCGAAGATCTTGCGAAGGGTTTCCATTTTTGGATCCATCGCGTCATTCATTGATGCCTGTGTAAATTCGTCTTGAGGAGAATTTTCCTCCTCTTGTTTCTTGATTATTGGATAAGTTCCGCGATTTGGAGTTGTTGACGGGCCCTGCCCCGCGCGGTCCGTTGACGGGCCTGGTTGGTTTCCGTCTCTTTTCTTTGTGATGCCCGCTTTTCATATTCTTTGCGAGCTTGGAGTTTCCAACACTCCTCTACTAGATGCCCTGGTTTCTTACAATATCTGCAGGTTTTCCCATTTTCAGGGTTCTGGTTACGGTTGCGATCACGTTCGCGGTCACGGTCGCGGAGGTCACCGCGTCTTTCTTCGTAACGTCTGGGACTGTTAGTCTGATTATCTGTCCTCCGGTTATTATTATTATGTCCATTACTATTCTGTCTGTCCTGAGGAGGATTGTCGTTTCTATTCCTATTGTCCCATCGCTTAGGATTTTTATCGTCATTGTGGCTGTGTCTTCGAAATCGTTCATTCTCGTCCTTAATTTCTGTCTGGATGCGTATGGCTTTCTCAATCGCGTCTTCTAATGAAGTGTATTTTTCGATTCGTAATCTCGTAGCGATTTCGGGTAATAATCCTTGCACAAATGCTTCTGTAGCTTCCTTTTGAATTTCCATTTCTGATCTAGCGTCGAGTTTCCCATACCTCTGTCTTTCCCCGTCTCAGATTAGATCGCGTAATTCTTTAATTTTAATTGTGTCGGGGGATAGGTGGCCCCTAACGAGTCCGGGATCGAGATGTGAACGCGAAATGAACTGGACACTGGTATTCACTTTTTTAACGCCGTTTATTTAAGAAATGAGGTCCCTGGATACGTCTGACGTCGGGCCTGGAATCCGGAATAGCCGGGGAATACTACGTCCCGATCTTCGTCGGATGAGGAGGCGACGTCCGTGGTCCTCCTTGTATGGGCGTCCTTCGTGGTTTAAATGTTTAACGTCTTCGACGTTCTGTATTTCTGGAATGTTGCAAATGCGAATTAATGAGAACTGCATCGCACTTCAAGCTCGTGCGGAAAGAGTCGCCGCTTCTGGGCAGAACTCTGCGCAGTGGACTGTATTATTTTCTCGATCTATGCAGCGGCTTCTCCAGCAAGTCACTTGCCGTGAAACGGAGCAGAATCACGCTCAACGTTCGTCTCTCCACACCGCGTAACTGGTGGAAGCTCGTAGCAACGAGCTTCGAGACCTGACCTTATAGGGAGCGATGTAACTTACCGCACCAGGACGGCCTCGAGGATGACGAACTGCAGCAGTGCGTTTAACGCAACGTGCTGCCCAAGCCATCAGCCGTTTCTAATTCAGGCTTAGAGGTGGCCTAAAACGGTGGATTCAGTCTTCAATCGACCTATGAACCCGAGTTGAACGCAACTCCGAAATGTCCAGTTACTAGAAAATAATTTTCGGATTTTGTCGCAAAGTTCTTCTACGTTGTTAAATTGCATGCGACCAATTGTCCTATAAGTTGCACCTCGTAGTTTATTTAAAATTGTTCTTACCAATAAAGGTTCATCTCCATGCAGTAGATAGTCTCGTGCCCTGTAGCAGGGATTGCCCTATAGCATTGGTTAATACGAATTTCATACTTACAAGTCTCTAACTGTATCGTAATGACTGTTATCGTCTATAGTCTGACGTCGTGACGCGGACATCACACTGTGCGTTCCTGTACGAAGATATAAAGATTTTTGTTTGCTTTTAATTTCGTCAGAGTTTGTCATTTTTGTTATCAATTCAGTTTTACCTTGTGTTTTCCCGGTTTCCTCATTTTGGTCCTTCTAGAGTTATTTCCGGTTTTTCCCGAGTTTCTAACTTCGTTACTGGGTTTCTGCTGCCTTTCGTTTTTGTTTACGATTGTTTGTATCATCGTTCATTCTTCTTTTATTTTGCTATGTGCTGTCAGTTTTC